ACCGGAACCGGTTGCTGATAAGATTTAACATTTGCTTTGATCATATACATACATATTTTCGATACTCATCAGACATCTAAATTGATTACCATATGAATGCGCGTATTCCATTTGCTATTTATATGACTATTTTTATACGTTTCTAACGGTACTTTGATAGATTCTAGTTTTGTTGTTTTAGTGAGTAAATAATTTAGTATTTGTTTATGCTAAATTGTGAAATATATGCTAATAAATAAAAAAACAGAAATGTGTAGAGCTTGGGCCATGAAAATACATCTGTATAAAAGTAAAAAGAGTTTAAGAGAAAGAATGCATAGAGTATTTGTTGTATACATATATTCATATTCATATGTCTCATCCCAACTAACAAGCTAAAAAACCTATTCAAATTGCCCATTAAAAATATGGACTTTAATGCTCCACTATATCGAGTTGCTCCATATGATATATAGTCTCTATAACTATCTAGTATATCTTTCAACTGGGTCAACTGATTATTGCTACTCAACATTTATGGCGCCATGAATATAAAAAAAAAAAAAACAACGTTTAAGCACATCTCAAATAATTGCTCGAGTGCTGCAAGTTGAGAGCACTCGAATGGCTGTACAGTAAAGCACGTGTATAACGACTGACAGCAACTATTAATAGTCGTCGAATGCAAATGCCTATGTGTGCGTCTATTTGCCTCCCTCTCTCTCTCTCTCTCTATTACTCTCTGTGTGTTCAATTAGGCTATGAACAAAAAATGTAAATTATAATAAATAAACAACAATGGGTAGCGGGCAAACAAGCGCTAACTGCCTAGCCCTCCCCTTCATTGACACGCCCCCATTTGTAATTGTTACAATTATTTTGTTTACTTTGACAGGGAATAGCAAAGTGCTCAAAGGCTGGGAGTGGAAGTGTGAGAGAGCGAGTCAGATGGAGTGAACTACTATGCTCTCTTGCGTCTCACTCAACTCAACTCTTCAGTTATTTTTGCGTGTTTGCTTTCTTGCAAGTCAAACTTTCAGTATGTGTGTGGGTGTGTGTGTGAGTCATTGATGCGGCTGCTTCTGCTTGCTGTATATATATATATGTGTGTGTGTGCAATGCATTGCTTTAGCCTGCAAGAAAATAATAACAGCAACAACAACAACAACAACTCTGCATTCGTCTAGCGTATTGTTTGTGCTTTGCTTATTCTTCGTGCTTCGCGTATTGTCGTAGCGTCTAGGCTGCGGCGCTCTTCCTCTTTGCTATTTTGAGCGTTTGTTTTGTTCTCGCGCGCGCTCATTCTCTCACTCTGCTCGCTCACTGTGCTTGACTACGCTCATTCATTGCGGTACTGCAGGCAAGTATTTCTGTGTGTGTGCGTGTGTTTGTGTGTGCTTTTGATTACACACACACAAACGCACATATACATATATATACACAGTTGCCCGCTCGCATTTACACACATGTGCAAAACGGAGGCCGGCGCACGTGGTAGCTAAACGTGATAGTACAACAACAACACAACAACTGACAGCAAAACAAATAGAAAACCTGACAACGATGCGGCGACGACAAACGACGCGACGTCGCAGCAGCTGTTTGTCGCTTCGCTTGCGTCGCAGCCGCTGCTGCTGTCGGCACCGACGCGTCGTCGCTGGCGTTGACGGCAACGCATCGTTTGGCAACTGTTGCCAGCGCCTGTTGCTCTGATTGGCGAACGACGCACACGAAGCAGCTGCGCCAATGGCAGCGCACGCTGTGGGAATCCTTTACGCTTCGCTGCGCCCTATTGGCAGACGCACGACCCACAGCCAGGAGATTCGGCAAACAACGAACATTAGCGACTTGTTGCTGTGCACTCGAAAATAAACGGATCACGGGCTGTATGCTTGATTTGTTTGCCAGATGCGTACCGTTCGGATTTGATTGAGTGTGGGGAAGGGGGAAATGCAAAGAGAGAGGCAGCGAAGGGGTTGGGCTGTTGACATGTGAAACAGCTAAGCTGCTTGACGAATCTTAAGCTCAGCTCAGCGTGAACGAGTGCAAGGGCTCACAATATATTTAAAAATAGTTGTTAATCTATTTATGGCATAAGCGAACCAATATATTTTTAAATGCGAGAATTTAAATTTACATTTCAGTTAATTGATAAGCATTCAATACTATTTTTAGTTTCGATTTATATAATTCATTACCGTGCTATACACAATATATTGTCATTAGCTTTTCTATATATAAATTTGTTTTCAATTAATCATGCTAAGTAAATTTTCCATTTTAAGTTTGTTTTATTTCCATTTGTTTATAATATAATTTGCCTAAGTACGTTTCTCTTTTTAGATATTTATTCGTTTCTTTCTCTACCCATATTTAAATCTTATGCTCTGAGCTTTTAATTTAATATTAATAATTTAAATGTTCTTTGTTTCATTTACATTGTTCCATTTGCATTGTTCCACTTTGAGAGTTCCATTTCCAATGCTCCTTATCACAGTCTTCAGGTTTCTCTCTTTCGCTTCCAAGAGCTTTACCTAGTATATATGCCTAGATAGTTCTACGGTTTTACATCACTGATAGCCAATGGAAACTTCGCGAATCGAGTGTCTGCTCAAAGGCCAAATTAACTGGACATTTAATTGATTGCAAAAAAAAAAAAAAAAAACACTCACACAATTTTTATGTACAGCGCTTAATTAATATAATTTCTAATAATAATAATGATGGCAATAATGGAAATTATTTGCCTTCGAATCACGCTGCACCTGGGGCTTATAAAGGTCGTCAAGGCAACACCCGAAAGCAAGCAGATGCAAACGAATCTTTCCATGAAATTACGCATACGTCACGTGTTGCAAGCCAATTAATTTGTTTGTGCGCGTGCCGCACTCAAAGCTCGAAGCTCACCATCGTCATCGATACTTTAATCACTTTTGTGGCACAAACACACACAGAGCGGGAGAAAGAGTGTGTGTGTGTGTGTGAGAGAGAGAGAGAGAGAGAGAGAGAGAAAAGCAATTAGAACAGGAAACGGAAGACTTGCAGCGTTCAGCTTTTGTCTATGAGGTGGCCGCTGTTGTTGTTGCTGTTGTTGTTGTTTATTTTTGCTAACTGTAAGGGAGAGTAAGAGAGAGAGAGAGAGAGAGAGCGCGAGCTTGCATATATTTTTAGCTGTGTGCGTGCGTGTGTGTGTTAAGCGACTTTAACTATGCCAAATGCAACGAAACGTTCAACGTGCGCGCCATCGAGTGGCTGTGTGTGCATATGCATGTGCCTCTGCCTCTGCCTCTGCCTCTGCCACTGTCTCTGCCTGTGTATGTGTATGCGTGTGTGCGCGCTTAGTTGACTCTCAGTCTCAGCTGCCCTGTGTGTGTGTGTGTGTGTGTGTGTGTGTCCCGGTGTGTTCACAACACGTGCTTAGAACTTTGCTAGACGTTGGGCTTTGGGTCATATTGGAATCCGCGTGACTTTGTCGCCGCTGCCGCTGCCGCTGCCACAGTCGCTGTCTGCTGCTGGCAGCGCTGCTCACTCGCTGTCGCTCAGTGAATTTTCAGCGCGCTGCGCTGCGCTGCCGTTGACACTAATGTTTGTATTTATTTATATAGAAATTATTTATTATTACTTTTTTACGTACTAGCTTTTTGCGCCATTTATCAGTTGGCTAGAGAGAGATATACATGTGCATATGTATGTATGTCTGTATATATTATTTTATTTTTTTATTAAAGGGCCTCCCTTCACTATTTACGTAATTTTTGAGCTTACTTGCAGAAAATTGCAATTTACGCTGCGGCACTTTTATTATTATTTCTCTCTCTCTCTCTCTCCTCCGCTTTTTTTTTTGCCTCTTGTAGGCGTTTTGCGACAAACAGCGCTGCCAGCGTGTGCAGCAACTGCACTGGCAGCGCTGCTAGCGAGGGCAGCGACTGAGACTGTGACTGTGACTGAGACTGCGGCTCGGCCATGGCTACGACTGTGGCCCGGCATTCGTTCACATCGCGTTCTCATGTCCAAATCGTTCTCGTTCAACTGCGCGTGCGAGTCTAACGTGAAAACCTGTGAAGAAATTTCCAGCTAGAAAGAAAAATAAAAATATTCAAATAATACAAAATACAAACTAAACTAAATACAACATGCTAATCAATATAAATATTTATTCAAACACTGTAAAATTCCTAGGGCAATCAAGAATTGCGCATTGAGTCGAAAGAAAGGCTTTTCAAAGGTGCAAAGTTCTGGAAAGCAAGTGCAACGCAAATAGAAAAACAAATCAAATCAAATCTACAACTGATCGTATATTATATATACCCACATACATAGTACATATGAATCTATAGTAAAGAGAACAAAAGTGAACATTGATTGTGCTCTGGTGTCAAATATCAATATATATACCTAATATGGAAAACACATAAATAGTTATAGATATTTCTATCTGTAGCATATGCCAGCAACAGCGCTAAAGTTACGGATCTAATTGCAAACAGTTTAATTTTAATTTTAATTACAACAACAACAACAACAACTACAAAACAAACGCAGCAAATCCAAAATTCATAAAACTGATCAATAAATTAGAAAAGGTATTAATAAAAAATAAATAAAAAATAAACAAAAATATACTAAATAAAACAAAAATTAAAGATTTTAATTTT